GCTATGCCATCAATTGTAACATACCAAACAGGCCCTTTGGTTATTGCTCTTTCACTCCCAAGACCTGTAATTGCTTTGGATGCCATCTCTAAAATCATGTTTGGTAAGTTAGATTCGACTAAACAGTAACTTGACCTTTTGAGTTCGATTTAGTAACGCGTACCAAACATGGTATTAATTTTCTTTATCATAAATAATGTGTGGGAGTGAGACTATCAAATGTGAAAGGTAAGAAAAGAATATATGTTGATAGAGTAATTGTTTGAGGATTTGTCCCCAGGCTCTTCTCCTCTTCCTTTATCACTCTTTCTATACAGTTCAAAATTTGCTTGAACTAGTAATAATTTATCTATTGTGATTTCAAGTGTAATAATTTAATGTTGGTTAGTAAGAAGTTGGGGTATGATGTCTATTGCAGACTGTGCATGTTCTTGTGTGGAATATGACACTACTGATGACTGAGATTAAGATATTATTTTGTTTCAATTAATTATTTATTAACTATCAATTGGCATTTATTTATTTTATCATGTGAGGGAAGCAACCAGATATGTTGTTCCGAACTTGTTGTCTATTTGGCTTATCTTTTGACAATTATGGTATTTGTACAAGAGTAATGTTATTCATCCCCAATGGGGTTGCAAACATAGTCTAGTGGCGTTAATCTGTCATTAAACGATATGTGAAATTAACCATCTAGACTGTGTTTGTAATCCCAGTGAGGATGAATAACATTACTCTTTGTACAATCATACTTGACAATGTTGGTATTGTCAAAATTCAGGTCATTGATTTAAAATTTTTTTTTTTTAATGCATGAATGTGATGTTGTCAACCAATATTGTCAAACTAGATTGTACATGTAGCATAATTCATCTTTCAATGTATATTTGATCGGCCTATTACATCATAGCAGATGGGAAGATGACAGTGATGTGCTGATGTTTAAAAAATATATAGAGACAGCAAGTTGGGTGATGGAATTGTGTTTTCTAGTATGTCCAAGTCTTGAAAAAGTAATTTTACTTGTTTTCAATGCATTTATTGGAAACACACATTCTTGTATATATTAAATTTGACATCGTAATACATGACATTCATCGTAGTCGTTGATTTTTACTGCACTATCGGCCAAATTTTGACACATAGGAGGGACAATGTACACGTAGCGTAATTGCATTGGAGAGTAGCCAAGCAAGTGGAGGGACACGTTTGACATTAATTTAACATGGTCCATTCAATAGCTAGGATTAGGGTTGGACTCTTACATACAGCTGTATGCATATTTCGACGTGAAAAAGTAAAGAAAGGACTCGTGAATGACTATATGCTATTTCGACATGAAAAAGTAAAGAAAGGGCTCGTGAATGACCTGATCCCGAGCCCCATGCCGCAAATGTGATTCTATAGAATTCTTGTATCGTTTCAAAAAATGAATAATTAAATAATTTGGAGGGTGTCAAAATTCAGTTTGGTCTAGAGTTAAAATGATAGAGCAAAAAATGAGTTTCAATCATTGATGTGTTGTTACTGTATTATTGGTTCAATTCAAGCTGCAACTACTATTAAGGTGGCTGGTGGGTGGGTGGGTGGGTGTTAGGTAGTTGGAGACCAGCTACCATTTGCTACCTTAGTTGCATTTTTTTTTTTCCCTCTTTTTCAAAGATATAGGTTTTACTCTTAATAATTTGTAACTATGCCAAATGATTTAGCCCTTGACTCCTTGTCTAGTTTAGCTAAAAAAGTATAATTGAAATTGTCAAAGTCAACAATGAATTCTAATCGCACGTCTCATAGGATTTACAATTTTTATCAACTTTTATTAAAATTTAATTTTTATCTAAATCAGACGAGGCTAATGTGGCTATGCAATGTATTTGTAAGAGTAATATCAGAGTAATTACCTATGTGGGGAGGGTTTCATCTTATAGTCACTCATCTAGAGGTGTATCACCTTGTTTGGTCCTGTTAAAATTTTTCTTTTTCTTAATTTTAATCGTACATTTTTCAAATAAAATAATATTACACACAAATTTAAAACTTTTCATTATTTTTCAATTACACATTTTCACATCAATCACTGTTCCAAAATTTATAAATTCTCCAAAATTGGGGCCAAACAATGACATAGATGATAGATCTATGTACACGTTGGGATAGTGTAGATTGTAACAATTGTAACATAATTCCAGTTTTTTGAAATCTAACCACGGGCTCGTTTCAAAAATATATTTGGATAATTTTACGCAAGTATTTTGTCTAACTATAAAAGTTTTTAGATGAAATTTATCGTCAACTTTATTACTGTTGCATCTACAGTAACCCAAAACTACCCTTTTTATTATAGTAGGATAAATTCGTTTAAAAATTCTTCCGAGGCTAACATGTTATTGATATATTGGTTCCGTAACTTATAGATATATTCATAAATGGTCTCCAACTTCTAAAATGTTTATATATAGTCACTAGACTTTATAATATTTATTCTGTTAGTCCCTATGAACGAATCGACGGTAGTTTAAGTGGTATAACTGAAGATGTTAATTGTACACAACATTCATTCTAAATCCACATAAACATATCGCATGCAAAATTAGACTTGTTATTAGTTATTGTCAGTATTCTAAAAAGCTTGCACCAGTTAGGCTCAAAGCTCGGACAAAACACTTCACTTAGTGCCTAGACTTTTATTTTTCAATTTCTAAACGGTTGAATATTTTCCTTCATCTCTTTCGTCTTCCCTAAGCTCGCTTTATTAAGTTTTTTTATTTATTTCTCTTCTTTTAAAAAGTTTTTTATTCGACTTTAGCTCATTAATTTTTTCAATTTTTAAAAAAACTTTTCATTTGACTTTAATTTCAATTTTTTATAAGATCCTATCTGTACAAAAGTTAAAAATGACTTTATCTAAATAGTTAAATAAGATTTAAACTTTAGTGCTATATACGTTATCTAATTATGATCTTTAAACTCGTTATTTTGTTGCAAACTCAAAAGACACGTATGAAGTTCCTATAAATTTATGAAGTATGATTTGTCTAGTTGAAAATTGAAATTATGAAAAATATTCTAATTTTTTTATTTCGAAAAATTAAAAATTATATAATTAACTAATTATATGAATTATTAAATAAATATATTTTAATACGTTTTTTTTTTCTAAAAGTAGAGGCTATTGGACTAAAAGTAGACATTTCGGAAAGGACATAACATCAAGAGGTCTCATCGCGGTTATGTTATAAGCTTCAAGGATATCCCAAATGTGTGACTAAAGTTCGAGAAATTCCATTGATACTAAGCACCAGTTTAGATGATAACTAAATGACATTAATAATAGATTCATTTAAATGCAACATCACGTGATACATTAAGAGCCTGTTTGGAGCTCATTTTTAAGCCAGAAGAATGCATTTTATTACCGTTATTGTACCAAAATCAGCCCATTTTTTTGACTTTCCTCTCACAGTTGGGATCCACTTAGAAGACTAACGGTCATTTTTTTTTTTCTATTAATGAGTTGCAAAATGAGCTCCAAATAGGGGATTATTGGACCTATCAAGTGTGACAATTTAGACGGGTGCTCTACTATCATCGAGATTAGATAACATTGTTCCTTTTTAAGAGTCCGTTGAGGTTGAGAAGCGGACTTATGATGAGGTCAGGGAAGTATTGGGAACAATAGTAGAGAAGATAACGTCGATGGACCATTTAACGCATTGTTAATTATGTTTTAGAGAAAATTACATATTCAATTTTATTTAAAAAAAAACTCACATACAAGTGAAGTGTCTACTAGAGTAGCTTACTTTCGTGCATTATTATTATTATTATTATTATTTTTTTGTCAAATTTAAATTTATAAACAAAAATTAAATTAGTTTTGAAAAATAATGCCATGAATGCTGTGCAAATTATGTAATTTTAAAATGTGGAACATGGATAGGGAGAGAGACGTGACACAGAATCTGAAAAAGCTTAAAGGTATTCAAATGAAATAATATAAAGTTAATCACTTTATTACACGGTTCCCTAGATTATGCTTTAATTGCTATTCTTCAACTATATTAGGGTAAAAATCATCCCACTTCGAGGGAATTTTCATTTTAGTCACTAATAAGTTGGACGGCCTCTCTGTTTCTGACGCATATAATGTCATGTTAAAATCGACACTTCTGAACACTCCATGATATAAGTTAGGTAGGCCACTTAATTTCTTTTTTATCTTATGTTTTTTTTTAAAAATAATTAATGTTAATTAAACTCACGTAATTGTTCGACATGTCATGTGTAGTGCTTTACATTGAAAAGTACAAAAATAAATATATAATATTTATATTTATAATTTTAAAGAATTTAAATCGAAGGTGATGCCTTACTTTTTCGAAAAGTTATGTCGTCTTGTCCGTTGACATGCTTCTTATCTAATAAAGATTTAATCGTTAATTTTTTTGTGCGATTCAAACTCGAGAAAATCATGTTTTTAACACATTGAGCTATTGAAATGTGAATTTTCATGCAATTTCTAGAAGTTTGAAATTTTGACTATTTTGCGATCAATCAATCAAAGAGTTCTATTAACGTCGTCTTGTGTAATAACACTATTTTTTTGAAGGAATAAACTGAAATAAAATTAAAACTTCAATGATGAGTTTGAAATACAAAAAAGGTGAGAGACTAAATTGAAATCTACTTATAAGTTAGGTGACTTCCATTGTTTTGTGCCCACTAATATTATATTCCTCAGTATCTTTCTCTCTTAGTTCAATGTGCTGCTCTCACAAATACCAGAACAAAAACAATTCAAGAAACAAGAGAGAATGTTGGTTCATCAATCCTCAGTCCCACTTATGACCATTCATTGATGTATTCTGAAGGAAGCTGAGCTGAGTTATTTGTTTCAGGTATTCATTAATTACTCACTCATTCTTCAATATATACCTAATCATAACAGCAACAACACCTCACGCCTCATCTTCTCTTCAATCATTTTTAGTTTATCCATGAAAGAAATTACAAACTGGGCATTTGGAATTATTAAAACCCATAAACTAAGCTATAACTTAGTCTTGTTCTCGCTACTTTTCTTGTTAAGCCCACCTTTTGCATTAGGTGTTGACCCACAAGACACTGCTTCACTTTTGCTCTTCAAGTCTCACATTCATGACCCTTCTGACAGTTTGTCAAGCTGGGATTTTGCTGTTAATGGCAGCTCCACCTGGACCGGTTTCACTGCCTCAAACCGGACCGGCCGGGTTACTGCACTCAACATTACTGCCCTCAACTTGTCAGGCACACTCCACCCCTCTTTGTGCAACCTCTCATTTCTTGAAACCCTTGTTTTATCGTACAACAACTTTTATGGTTCAATCCCCTTATGTTTTCAGTTGTTTAGGAAACTTAGGATTCTTGATCTTAGCCACAATATGCTTACTGGCGTTGTACCTAATACACTTGTGATGCTCAACCAATTAACTCAGCTTAATCTTAGCCACAACATGTTAAGTGGTACCATTCCAGTTTGGTTTGGCAATTTTTCCACCCAATTGGAGAAACTTGATTTGGGATTCAATAGTTTTCATGGAGAGGTGCCTAATGGCTTGTTATACTTGATGTCCTTGAAGTACTTGGATTTGTCTCACAATTATCTGATGGGAAATCTTGTTGAATTTCGTCAAGCTTTGGTGTATCTCAATCTCGAGTCAAATTGGTTATCTGGCACTTTGCCTTGTTTCTTGTCATCAGCTGACTCAATGTCGGTGCTTAATTTAGCGAATAACTCAATTGTGGGAGGAATCCCGGCTTGTATTTCTGGTCTTCGTGGGTTGACACGCTTAAATTTGTCCCACAATGCAGTGAGATATAGGATTTCCCCAAGATTAGTTTTCTCAGAGAAGTTGGTTGTTTTGGACTTGAGTTTTAATGAATTGTTGGGAAATCTTCCAAGTGGTATTATTGAGAAAGCCGAGAGGTCTGGAATTTTACTACTTGATCTATCGCATAACCAGTTCACTGGAGATATTCCAGCATCATTAACCGAATTGAAAAGTTTGCAGGCATTGTTTCTTTCGCACAATCTTCTTACAGGTGAAATACCAGAGAGAATTGGAAATCTGACATATCTTCAAGTGATTGATTTGTCACACAACTTGTTATCAGGCTCGATCCCTTTGAACATTGTTGGCTGTTTTCAGTTACTCGCGTTAATGCTAAAGAACAACAATCTTTCGGGTGAAATTCAACCAGAGCTTGATGCATTGGATAGTTTGAAAATACTTGATCTAAGCGAGAACCAGATATCCGGGGAGATCCCTCTTACCTTAGCAGGATGCAAGTCATTGGAGGTTGTGGATTTGAGCTCTAACAATCTCTCGGGGTCGTTAAATGATGCAATATCAAAATGGTCGAATCTCAAGTTTCTCTCCCTGGCTCGTAACAATTTCAATGGAGCTCTACCCGGTTGGTTATTCACCTTTCAAGCAATCCGAACATTGGATCTCTCAAGCAACAAGTTCTCCGGCTACATACCAGATGTTAACTTCAACACTAGTTTGATTTTCAATAATGTTGACATCGGCAGAGCAACTTTTGGAGAGCCATCAGTTTTAGAAGTTTCTGTCATTGTTCACGATAAAACCGAATTGAGCTTTAAATACATTCTTCCAACAGCAAATGGAATTGATCTGTCTGATAATTTACTGCGTGGTGAAATCCCATCCGGAATATTCACACTGCAAGGCCTAGAATACCTGAACTTGTCCTATAATTTTCTTGATGGTCAAATGCCAGTTAGTTTGGGGAAGATGAGGAGTTTGAAGGCACTGGATTTGTCGCATAATTCATTGTCGGGTTCGATCCCAGAAAATATATCCAATCTCGGGAATTTAACAATCTTAAATTTGTCGTACAATTCGCTCTCTGGGGTCGTACCTACAAGGCAAGGATATGGGAGATTTCCTGGAGCATTTGCTGGAAACCCGGAGTTGTGTGTGGAGTTATCTGGTGATGGCTGTAGGAGACAAAGTGTTCCGGTAGTAGCAGCTGGAAAGAGCTTTGCACAAGATATGGAGGATGGACCCATTTTAGTTTGGGTTTTCTGTGTAAGTAGTTTAGTTAGTTTCTATGGAGGAATTGTTGCTCTCTTTTGTTGTTCTCGAACGAGAAACTGCATTTTGCAGACAAAAACTTGACGTCTTGTTTATGTAAGTGAATGATAGATTCTTAGTTTCTTTACCCATCTTGTTGAACTAACATACATCAATGCTACATGTGCTACAAAGCTGGCTTGGCCTCAGCCTTCATGTCCTTGACTTAACCTATGCTATTCATGTCCCCCAGGCTATTCAGTAGATTAGAACTTAGTTCGTCTTTCATGATTAACAAATGACTTCCAACGAGAACCTCAAGACAATCAATCTTAAAATAAGACATGAACTGTAGGAGAGCAGTTAAGAGTGAAATTTCGATTATTGGTTCTATAACCTTAAAAGGGTGATTGTCGAAGAATGCCCCGTGAGGGCGAGTCATCAGTATGACATCACTTTAGAAGAGCTAGAATTCTGTAATATTGTGTGAGGACTTGTCGGCTAAGGGATAATCTCATGTAAACAGTTCTATGGGTGTATGCCTCTCAAAAGACAGCGGAGGTGTGCAAAGATTTTCTTAGGCCAGAAAGAGCCCTAAATGAAGGATAAAACCTTTAGGGTGCGTTTGATTGCAAGGGTGGAAAATAGGTGGAAAGAAAATATTTTGCAGGGAAAAGATTTGCCTAGAAAATGTTTTGCAGGAAAAATGATTTTAAATGTGTTTGATTGGTATAATTTTCAACCAGGAAAATTTTTAAATTTTATATTCGTTTGGCTTTGTTTTACATGAAAATTGTCCATTAAAGTGATATTTTTTTCCACAATTGATTATAAAACTTGTACCCATTGCCAAAAAGT